TAATTCGGGAGGCAGAGGTTGCAGTGAGCTGAGATTGTGCCATTGCATTCCAGCCTGGGCGACAGAGCAAGACTCCATCTCAAAAAAAAAAAAAAAAAAAAAGGCCATTCAAAACATTCTGGTTTTGATCATCATAAGGAGTGGAAAGATTCAGAAATTTAAGTCCTGTTTGCATCAAAGAACTGTTCATATAGGTTAAATGACACCATAGAAAACCTGAAAATATAATAGATGCTCACAGGGATTTGTTTCCTTCCCATTGGCCTGGAGTTCCTTTTCCTAACTGTGCCCACCTTCCTGCTGCCATCACCCAGTCCTCTCCCATTCCCCAGTGCTGGTGTCAGCTTTCGAGGATGTTCAGTGCACACCTCCCTCCAGCCGCACAGCCTAGCAGGCCAGTGCAAGACCCAGGAAGAGTTGAAGGTGAGATGAGAAGGGCTAAAGAGAGTGCATGAGCCCAATCTCTATGGAAGATTGTCTTAGTCTGTTCTCATGCTGCTAATAAAGATATACCTGAGACTGGGTATATCTTTATATATAGGGAAGAGGTTTAATGGATTCACAGTTCTGCATGGGTGGGAGGCCTCTCAATCATGGCAGGAGGGGAATGAGGAGAAAGTCTCATCTTACATGGCAGCAGGAAAGATGGTTATAAAACCATCAGATCTCCTGAAACTTACTCACTACCATCAAAACAGTATAGAGGAAATTGCCCCCAGGATTCAGTTATCGCTACCTGGCTCTGCCCTTGACACATAGGACTTACTACAATTCAAGGTGAGATTTGGGGGAGAACACTGCCAAACCATATCACAGGTGCTGCCTGAAAAGCAACCCAGCTAGGAGAGGCATTTCTGCAAGGCCAACCCAGGGGGAATAATTCCCATAGCACCAAGTACTTCAAAAAGAGGCCACCACAGGCCAGGAGGGCAACATGCTTACGGGCTTCTTGGGGTTGGTGGCGAGCTGACAAGAAAAACGGAAGACTTGGGACTGAGGTAGACCTGCGTTTGAACAGAAGCATCCCCAGGTGCCACCTGTGTCACCTGAAGCAGGGCACAGAATACTCTCGGCCTCCATGTTCTCCTGGGTGGACTAGGATGGTAATGCCTGCCTCAGGATGTGGCGAGGGTGTGATGAATTCACACAGGGAAGCATATGCCATGGAGACCTTCTCACAGGAAATGCTCAGGATGGGCTTGTTCTCTTTGGGGAATACCAGGCTCCCCTCCTGACTTCACTGCCTTTCCCTGGTGCTCCTGCTCCCCACATACTTATGCATGTACCTCATCCTATACCCCTAGAAATGCCCCCACCTGCCTGTTTCCATCCTCAAATCCCTGGCTTCCTTCTGCTCATGCTGTCCATTGTTTTCTTCTCACAGAACTCTGGAAGATTTCCTGTTCACTAAGACATCAGTGATTGACGTCAGCAGTAACTTTTAGACACACACACACACACACACACACACACACTCACCAGATTTTCTAGAGCAACTTTAATGATGATCACATCTTTAAATGAGTGGGATAAGGCCTCACTCAGGCATCAGCCAGTTCAACAGAAATTTATAGAAAGAGTAGAGGGCAAGAGAGCCTTCCTGGGGACCCCTAGAAATCTACACTATGGGTGAGAGAGAATGCCCTTGTTTTGTGAAGGCTCCTGGAAGCATTATCTTGATGGTAATATAAATATCATTCACTGAGCACTGACCACGTGTCAGGCACTATGTTATGGGCTGTAGTGCATTTTCAAATGTAATCATTCCATCTGCTAGGATGTACACTTAATTCAAAGAAAGTGGTTGCTTGACGGATTGGATCATTTGTCCAAGTCATATAGCTAGAAAGCTATGGAGCCGTTGAATAAGTTCAATAATTGAGGTGTGCCCAGAAGCCCAGGCACACTAGCGGGGGTTCTCCTTAGGGGGACCTAAGAGCACATTCTCAGCACAGGGTGGCTTCTGAGCCCTCTGACCACCCCATCCTGTCTGCTCCCATCCTGTCTGCTTCCTCCCATTGGGCTGTGTTGGTGGTCCTCCTGGATTGTAACCTTGACTTTCAGTGACTCTAATTCAGTGCCCAGGCTGAGATCCTAACCAGCTCAGCTTGCACAGGACCATGTCCAGAAATTGCTCCTATCTGCTGAATTCCTATCCCAGCTGATTCAAGCCAAGTAGAGGACACAGGGCATTCAGAGGACTCCTGGGATGGGTGGCATTCGCAAGAGCTGGAACTCATGGAGAATGGGGTGCAGGGCAAGGAATGAAGGCTGGCAGGGATGATCACAGAAGTCATGCTAGCTGCTCTCAGCCTCTCCGACTACATTCTGAAAGCAGTGGGAAGCCACTGGAGTTCATATACAGGGGATGTGACTTGATCACATGTGGAATTAAAAATATCACACTCATAGTTTTAGCAGCTACAACTTCGTATTCCTTGGTTGATCTGTACTTTTACATAATCTCGTAGACACTTTCCAAGTGTCTAACAAAACTTGTAATAAATACAACTGGCATTGATCTTAAAAAATGATCTTAATGAAAACATTCTCCTGTTTGTTTAGCAATGTGGATTTTCCATCTGGGTTGCTGTAGAATGGAGTGTAGTAAGTTTACCTATAAGTAAAAGAACAAAGTTAACCTAAAAGTAATGGAATTTTAGAAATAGAAACACACTTTAAAGGCCGGGTGTGATGATGCACACCTGTAATCCCAGAACTTGAGAAGCCAAGGCATGAGGATCGCTGAGCTCAGGAGTTCAAGACCAGCCTGAGCAACGTATCAGGATCTCATCTCTACAAAAAAATCAAAGGATCAGCCAGGTGTGGTGTTTCATGCCTGTAGTTCCAGCTACCTAGGAAGCTGAGGTAAGAGGATCTTGTGAGTCCAGGAGGTAGAAATGCAGTGAGCCATGATTACACCACTGCACTTTAGCCTGGGCAACAGAATGAGATCTCGTCTCAAAAAAAGGAAGGGAAGGGAAGGGAAGGGGAGGGGAGGGAAAGGGAGGGGAGGGGAGGGAGAAGGAGGAAAGGAAGGAAGAAAGAAAGGAGGGAAGGAAGGAAAGAGAAAGGAAAAGAATTGAAAAAAGAAAAACAAAACACAAAAATGAAACACACATTCAAGATGATCTAAGTCAATGGTTTTCCATATTAGTATTAAAAAAGACCCAACCCCATATGAGGCTGGGTTGTTGGAAAACATATGAGGTTGTTAGATTTTTGGAAAATATTGTTTGAAAAAAATACATAAGAAAAAGCCATTATGAACTCAACAAGAGTAAAGATATGTTTCATGAATTACAACAACACACATGAAGATTTGGGAGAAAAAAAATCTATCTCCACCTATATAAATATATGCATATATGCATTTATGACTAATATGCCTTTCTTTTGTAGTCTTAGTATATACATAAAACTTTTCTAGTAAGTGATGAGGAATAAAATAAAGTATTAAAATTATAAAAGTAACTTTAGAGGCATTTTAGAAATGAGCAGATTTGGCAACTTGAATCCCAACAGGTATGCCCCTCTCATCTCCCCAAAACACAAAACCTAAAGCATAAAGACAGTAATCATGATGAAGATCAATTTAACACCAATTTGAGTTCATAAGAAATCCAGTCAGGTCAAAGTCATGTTTTTTGAATAGTTTAGATTACTCAGTTTGGAAGAATACAGTGTTCATCAGGGTAGACTGACTTCTCAAACAAATAGCCCCAACTCTCCAGATAACAAAGGATTATTTCACACCACACCACAGCCCAGTTAGCGTTGGTGGGACTGAAGAACACGGCGGGAGGAAATACTTTCTTGTACTCAGTCATTCAGGAACCCATCATTTCATGGTTCCATCCACCCCTGGGCCTCAGAGCCCTCCACTGCATCCAGCGGCCGATGAGATCACAAAAACTGTATACAGAAGGTTTTTGGGCTGGAGTTGAAGGACCACACTTGTGTCACTTTTCCCTCACATTCCTTTGGTCAGAGCTTCATTATATGGTCAGCCTAATTGCAAGATATTCTGAGAAGGAAAGTCTAAGCATGTGTCTGAGCCACAGCATCAAGCAGTTTTCCCAGCCGGAAAGGGAACCAGCTTGATGAACACTTGGGTCAGGGTTGCCCTCTCCCCCAACTGAACAAAAACGTAAAACCCTAGAATTACTATCCTCAGCCAAGGAGAACCGATCAGACCCCAAAATGGTAGTCTCAAACAGCGGTCTGCAAATGGGATTTGCCCACCATGTGGTTCATGAACTTTCTGAGGGGCACATCGACACAGACTACTTTAAATAATTTAGTTGCCTAATTTTTGACTTTACTCTCTCTCCTAAAACTGATCTGCCTGAGAACTGGCCTACATGCTCATGCAGCTTATCATTTCCCATCTTCCCTTGTTCCACTCCACAAAAGGAGGTGTGCTATGAAACAGCGGGTGTGTAAGTCTCTCTAGAACTTGCCCCACCCTGTCTTGCACCTTTTGTTCCGAAGGGCTAGAATGTGGCATTTCCGCTCTCTTTGAGTTGCCCTCATGAGATTCCTTTGGATGGCAACAGGTTGCTTCTATTTAGGGGATTCAGCAAACAAAGTCACCCACTAACCCACACTCCAACGTAACACAAGAAAAATAATATTGACGAAGGTGTGTTATAATTAATGTTTCTTTTTTTCCCCAAGCAGTGAATGACTAACATACATAAGGTATGTATACACATGCACAGAGGCATATATAGATATATAATTTATAATTGTTTGATGAGTCTAGGTAAGACTTTTAGTGCAGTTAAAAAAAATTGAAAAAGTGTGTGATTCAAATGTCTGGGTTATAAATCCTTATCCAACTCAAGTAGTTTCCATTTCTTCAAACATATTGTTAACTCTACAGTTTAGTCAGGCACAGTGGCTCATGCCTATAATACCAGCACTTTGGGAGGTGGAGGCCGGTGGATCACCTGAGATTAGGTGTTCGAGACCAGCCTGGCCGACATGGTGAAACCCTGTCTTAGCAGCACATGCATTAAAATTGGCATGACATGGAGAAGAAGAGCATGCTCCCTGTGAAAGGATGACACACAAATGCATAAAGCATTCCATATTTTCAAAAACATTTCAGAACCAAGAAAATAAATGAATCAAAAGAAAGGGAAGAGACCCTGGTGATTCCTTTGATATTAGAAAAAATTGGCCAGGTACAGTGGCTCAGCACTTTGGAGGCTGAGGTAGGTGGATCACTTGAGGTCAGGTGTTCGAGACCAGCCGCCAACATGGTGAAACCCTGTCTCTACTAAAAATACAATTAGCCAGGTATGGTGGCCAGTGCCTGTAATCCAGCTACTTGGAAGGGTGAGGCAAGGAGAATGGCTTGAACCAGGGAGGTGGAGGTTGCGATGAGCTGAGATCAGGTCACTGCACTCCAGCCTGGGCAACAGAGCGAGAGTCCACCTCAAAAAAAAAAAAAAAAAAAAAAAGTACAAAAATTAGTCAGGCGTGGTGGTACATGCCTGTAATCCCAGCTACTTGGGAGGCTGAGGCAGGAGAATCGCTTGAACCCAGAGGTGGAGGTTGCAGAGAGCTGAGATCACGCCACTGCACTCCAGCCTGTGTGACAGTGAGACTCCACCTAAAACTAATAATAATAAATAAATAAGTAATTTTCATTTTCAATTCTGAGTTTGGCAAGAAGAGTGAACTGTAGCCCAGCGACTGGCACACACATTTTAGAGTTCACAGTGTGCTCTCTCAGAAACTGTTTTAGCCAAAATTGTGTCATCTCTGGCCACTCACTTTATTTAAAAGACTTGACTCAAAATGACTATTTATGGAAATCAGCTTCAACTCTAGCCTCAAAAGACAAAAACATCATAGTTCTAAAGATATTCAGTAGAATGTAATCAAGGTTATTAAAAAGCAGTAAAGGTCCAGGCACCATGTCTCACACCTGTAATCCCAGCACTTTGGGAAGCTGAGGCAGAAGGATCACTTGAGGCCAGGAGTTTGAGACCAGCCTGGGCAACATAGTGAGACCCTGTCTCTAGAAAATAATTTTAAAAATTAACTGGGCATGGTGGTGTTGGTTTGTTGTCCCAGCTACACCAGAGGTTGGAATTAGAGGATGACTTGAGGCCAGGAGTTTGAGGTTGCAGTGATCCAGGATTGTACCGCTGCACTCCAGCCTGGACAGGGAGAGATTTCACCTCTTAAAAAAAATAATAAATAAAAGAAGCAAGGAAGAGCTTCTCCTCCAAATACTCCCACATCATTTGGGGCAATTATAAAATTCTAAAAAACATGGAAAACCTACCTTGAGTACCTTTTTGGATGTATGCTTATAAGAAAACGAATCTCTTTAATTAACTAGTAGAAAGACTAAGAGGAAAGGATCCTAGGGGACATGTGGTTTTACTTCACTATTTAATTTTATTTAATTAATTAATTATTTAGATGGAGTCTCATTCTGTTGCCCAGGCTGGAGTGCAGTGGCACAATCTCGGCTCACTGCCACCTCCGCCTCCCAGGTTCAAGAGATTCTCCTGCCTCGGCCTCCCGAGTAGCTGGGATTACAGGCACCTGCCACCATTCCTGGCTGATTTTTGCATTTTTAGTAGAGACAGGGTTTCACCAAGTTGGCCAGGATGGTCTTGATCTCTTGACATCGCGATCTGCTCACAATGGCCTCCCAAAGTGCTGGGATTACAGGTGTAAGCAATGGTGCCTGGCTCCCTAATTGTAAACATGAGAAAATTGGGTACCAAAGAGATGAAGTAACTCACCAGGTGGAGAGAGAAGAGCCTCTCTTACCACAGGGGGTCTCTCACTGGGAAACCGGCAAAACGTGTTCCCTGCCTGCGTTCTCTGAGATCTTAGCCCAGCACAGAACAGAAATGTCTCCGCTTTAGAGGACAACCGGTTTGTCCTATGCCTTTTACATCCCTTTCAGCAAGCAGTGTTTCTCAACTTTGCATTTGTGCAACCTCTTGAGCAGCACAAACTCCTGAGCTAAGAGACACTCCACTCTGTTTGCAATTGAGGGCAAAGGCTGGGATCCTTGGGCACAGCTCCAAACTCCTTTTCCAGAAGTCTGGGGTGGCAGGGGAAAAAAAAAGCATTTATTTATTTATTTATTTATTTAGAGACAGAGTCTCACTCTGTCACTTAGGCTGGAGTACAATGGTGTCATCTCGGCTCACTGCAACCTCCACCTCCTGGGTACCAGCTATTCTCCTGTGTAAGTCTCTCAAGTAGCTGGCATTACCGGCATGTGCTTGAGGTTAGAAGTTAGAGACCAGCCTGGCCAACATGGTGAAACCCTGTCTCTACTAAAAATAAAAAAAAATAAACCAGGCATCGTGGCTGGCGCCTGTAATCCCAGAAACTCGGGGCAGTCTGAGGCATGAGAATTGCTTGAACCCAGGAGGCAGAGGTTGTAGTGAGCTGAGATCGCTCCACTGCACACCAGCCTGGCAGATAGAGCAACAGTCTATCTTCAGGGGGGAGGGAAAAAAAAAGGAGAATTGGAAAGTTGTATCTAGAGGTATTCAATGAAATTTGATGTTAAGAGACAAAGGGAAAAAACGGAGAGTGAAAAAAAGTAGCACTTCAAGAGTTTATCTGGTGTTTTTATCAGAGATATTGTTTCTTGAACTCTTCTGCATTAAAAAAGTGACCAGGTATAGTGACTCATCCTTGTAACTGTAACACTTCAGGAAGCCAAGGCAGGAGGATCGCTTGAGGCCAGGAGTTCAAGACCAGCCTGAGCAGCGCAGTGAAGCGCCATTGCTCCGAAAATGATTTTTTTCACTTTCACAGCAGCTGTCTGATCACAGAATTGTGCTAGAAGCCAGTGATTAAAAGGTAACCAAAAATTATTATATGCCCGGAAATTCAAAGTGCCTTCATAAGATACCAAGAAAAGAAAGAATCCAAAATGAAACAAGACTGCCTTTACACTCAGTGAGAAGATCACAACATGGCAATCAAATGTCTCCCTGTGGCCCAGGAATGCCACTGTGTGGCACAAGGTTGTGCGGTCTGAAATCACCCCTAACCCCCTAAACATGTTAACAGCTGAAACAGGGTGATGGTGTATTTACCTGTATTACCTTACTGCCTGTGAAGGTGGACTTTTAATTCTGAACCCTAATGAGGGGGAGAAAACCAAGTGTTCTCAATTCTCTTGCCTCAGTCTCCCAAGTAGCTGAAATTACAGGCACCTGCCCGCAGCCCCGGCCATAGGGCGAGCAACTTCCCACGGGCCCCGCCCCCCGGATATTACGAACCCTGAACCCTATGGCTCGAGGTTGCCTGTAGCGGTATTTAGAAAATTTGTGTTTGGTGTATACGAGGTATGTGCGTGGTGTGTGAGGTGGGCATGGTAGGGGGGCAGTGTGAGGTGGAAATGGTTATGTGTGGTGTGTGGTGTGTGGGGGGTATGTGTGTGGAGTCTCAAGATTTTTGCATAGCTGGTAGTGTTTTTAGGCATTCCAAATGTAGATTGTCTTTTTATTTATTTTTATTTTTGACGTAAAGCAGGCATATCCAGTTTTTTGGCTTCCCTGGGCAATGTTAAAAGAAGGAAACTTGTCTTAGGCCACACATAAAATACTTTAACACTAAAAATAGCTGATTATCTAAAAAACAATCACAAAAAGGCCAGGCCTGGCCTCTCAAAGCGCTGGGATTACAGGTGTGAGACACTGCGCCCCGCCCTTCTTCCATTCTTGCTCAGTTTTTCCTTTTCTTCTCTCTCTTTCTGCCTCTTTTTTTTTTTTTCTTGATATCCTGGAAACCATAGGGAATATATATATGAGTCATAATTCCAAGAGCAATTTAAAAACGTTTTTTAGAGGCAGGGTCTTGCTCTGTCACTTAGGCTGGAATGCAGTGGTGAGATCTCCGGCTGACTGCAACCTCCACCTCGTGGCCTCAAGTGACCCTCACGCCTGAGCCCCCAAAGTAGCTGGGACTACAGGTGTGCAGCACTGCACCTGGCTAATATGAAAAATATATACAAAATAGCCAGACATGGTGGCAGGTGCCTGTAATACCAGCTACTCAGGAGGCTGAAGCAAGAGAATGGCTTGAATCCAGGTGGCAGAGGTTGCAGTGAGCCGAGATCGCGCCATTGCACTCTAGCCTGGGCGACTGAGCAGGACACTCTCAAAAAAAAAGAATTTTTTTTGTAATTTTTTTTTCTAAATTTCAGACAAAGTCTCCCTCTTGTCTCCCAGGCAAGGGAAGAGGAAGTATGTTTTATTTTTACAGCCTAGATAATTACCTGCCATTTGGGACTGCCTTTCAAGATATGTAGAAAACAGAAAATAGATGACTAATGAAGATATCTATGCACATTTAACAGTCTCTCCTTTTTTTTTTTTTTTTTTTTTGAAATGGAGTCTCAGTCTTTGGCAAGTGAGAAGAAGAAAAAAAGGATGGTGAGCAGGGAACAGGGGTGTGAGCAGGAGGGAGAGATTTGTGAAAACAATTGGAAGAAAAGAAAGACAGAGAAAGGAGACCGTGGTTAAAACGACTTGGGGTAGATGGAGGTGGGGGGGCAAGAGGGTGGCAAGTGGGAGGAGAAAAAGGGGTGCAGAGAGGGAGGGGGAAGATAGTGGCGAGCAGGAGGGAGAGAAGGTTTTGTGAAAAGACAGGAGGAAAGTCTTTAAGTAGATGGAGGGGGAAAACAGGGTGGCAAGCGGGAGAAGGGTAAAGGTGGTGAGTGGGAGTGGGAGAGAGGGTTGGGAAAAAGACGATGGGGAGTATGGTTTGGGGTATCTGGAGGACAAAAACGGTGGCAAGCAGGAGGAGAAGGGTTTGTGGAAAGAGGATGGGTAAACGTTTTCGGGTAGATTGAGAAGGGAAAGAGGATGGCAAGGATGAAGGGGAAAAAGGTGGTGGGCAGCGGGAGTGGGGAGAAGGCGTCGAGAAAAGACGGGGGAATGTTTTTGTGCAGATGAAGGAGCCAAAGAGGGCGATGAGAGCAGGAGGGGGAAAAAGAACGTGGCCAGGGAAAGGGAGAAAAAACGGTGGGGAAAAGCAGTGAAGACGAGTTTTGGGGGAGATGAATGGCGAAAACCGTCGTGAGCGGGAGCATAGAGAAGGCT